ACCCTCGACCCCTCACGCTGTACCCCGCGTCACGGCCGAGGGGGCCACGTCCTTCCCGTCCGGGGTCCGGGCCGCCCTCGCCTGCGCTCTGCGTGGCCACCGCCTCCTTACCCTCCGGGTCCTGGCATAAGCGGGACCCCCTCTGGGAGGCCTTCGAACGCCCGACCTGAATTAGGTCCTGGGGTGAATTCTCCCGCGGCGTCCCACGCAGTGCTCATGCCTAGCTTGGGCTTACGGGGTGCCGGCGCACGCGGCCGATGCCCGCCTCCCTCTGAACCACGAACGCACCCCGGGCAGCACACCAGTCCTGTCAGCCAGACACTCACGTGCTTAACGTAAAGAGACTTTTAGGAATTTCAGTCAATTGTAGGAAAGTAGCAAAGCTGTGCTTTAATAGGTCAAATCGACGAGGAACGTTGCATTCCTCCAATTCTATAATGAATTTTTCTGTTTACAACAAAGCAGTTTCAGAACCACGTGGCTGCTGTGTAGGCGCCGACAGGATGTGGGTACGGGCCGGGCACGGACTTAACGGACACTTTTTCTAAAACATGCAACTGAAGGACAAGTTCAAGTACAGACTGTTTTTAATCCACTTAAATACCAATCTGGGCAATAGCAAAATTAGAAGCCTACACACTCAACTTTTTTATACAACCAAAACATTTTTAATACACAAATCAAACAAATGAAAAGCTAGTAATCATATCCTCAGAAGCTGGATCTTGAATATAAAAACGTTAAATGGTTTCCTGCTTTGTCTCCATTCGTTATTTTCCCGTATCCTAATTTTTTTTTCCTTTTGGCCAGTCTACTGCTAAATTAAAATTACAGTCAGATCGGTCAGTCTAAGGAATTTCCCGCCCCACCCCCCATACACACGGCAGAGATTTATCCCCGTGGGTCAAGAGGACAGCACGTCCTGAATGAAGTTTCTTTACTCCGTGTTGGGCGTGGACAGATCGTACAGCTTTTCCGGGGTTTAGACGGTGGCATCACCAGCCCCGTCCACGTCACAGGACTGCTCTGGAGATGAAGTGCGGCAGGGGGCCACCTGGGCGCCTCGAGGACACAGACACACGCTGTGGCTAAGATTTGGGGGAGCTGGGAGGGGCACTCCATACAGTCCCAGCACCCCGCGTTAAAATGTAGTTCACAAAAGAAGGAAGAGCTGACCGTGCAGGTCCCGAAGAGCTGGATCAGCGACCACGAAGCGCACACACCTGATGGGCAGCGTGGGGGCCGGGCCGGCCCAGGCCACTCTGCGCTTAACCAACGAATTCTGCATTAGGAACAAGCACGAAGCCTGCAGATCGGCCCACGTCGGCGACGTTTTCGCTTCCTAGAATGATTCGATTTACGGATTTCATTATTTCTGGCACTGGGCCATACAGCCTGACGTAAGAATTCATTTGTCACAGGCGAGACACGTCAGGGTTCTAGGCTTTACCTGCAGCCTGTGTGGAGGGGGTGCCGTCTGGCTGAGCTGCCCAAGGATTCTTCTCACATGTCCCAAATATAGATTTTTATGACTAAGAAACAGTTCCTACGATTTAGCACCTTAGGCTCCAGTAAAGATTGCCGTGGAATTCTAGAGTCTTCCTATTTCATTTCCCGATACTTCTGGTGTCCTTGCCAGAAAATTACGTATTGAAGTACATTTTAAAAATTCCGGCATCATTTAAATCTTTGAATGAGTCCTTTGTCTGGAATTGTTCAGTAAATAGTTTGAGTCAAGTAAATAGCACAGTTCTCAGGCCCTTTTGGGATTTCAGAATGGGGTCTTTGAGGGAAACTGAAGCGGGGTCTTACCAGCTAACTCTAGATGCAAAAAACACGCTGTCTCGGGCCTGCGGCCGGCAATCCTGGGCGCCCCATAGTGCTGAAGGCTGTCGGCGGCCACGCGCGGGCCACGAGGCGCTGTGACCACAGCGAGCCGGACAGCACACGTGGGCGGAGCGGGGCTCACCCCCGGGCTCCTGCGGGCCCCAGAGCTGGCGGTCGCCCTGAGACAGGGAGCTGCGGTCACCGCCGGGCAGACCACACCCACCTGCCCTCACATTTTAAATGAGATGCCCCCCCCTTTTTTTGTGGAAACTAAATACATTTTAATAGAAAAACAATACAAAATAACTCTTTTCAGAAAACAAAAATATTTAATCCTTTCTCCACAAATCAGAACTGCTTCCTCCTGCGAGCAGGTTCGGAGGCGTGCACGGGGCTCACTGTTTCCCAGGGCGGCGGTGTCGCTGCTGTCCTGAGCTGGGAGCTGGGATGTGGGCTGGACGACCTCGCGGAGAAAGACACTGCGAAAGCCACGTCTCTGAAAAATGCTTGTTTGGAAATGCGACGTTTTTTAACTTTTGACTTATCGCTTCGAATTATTTCCATTTCTTTAGCACACCCTGTCCTTTCGGGGGAGACAGCTGCTGACAAGCGCAGCCGCGGACAGAACCCTCTTCGCCGCCATCACGGCCAGAGCCCGAGGCCGCCTCCGCCAAGCCCACCCCCTTCTACAAACGTGGCGGCGGCAGTGACCCCTCCGGCACCCAGAAACCCTCCCTTTCTCCCAGGGCACTGCTTCCAAATTCTCTGAGCTCCCTGACCCTCCAGATTCCCAGTGTCTCAGCCAGTGCCAGGCGCGCAGCCGACGGCCGGGGTCAGGGACGCCGCCACGGCTGGCTTTGCTGTTCTCAGTAACGACGTTTGCTATAATTACAATTACAATAATAAAAACCCTCTTCTCTGTAATTGGGAAAGGAGAGGCTTTGGCCAGGGCGAGGCCCGCGCCCTCTCCCAGGCCCCTTCGGCTGGGGACCGTGCCCGTGACCCCGTGACCCCGTGACCCCGCAGCACGCGCAGTCTCACAGCGGGACGTCGGCACGGACTGGAGGCGCTCGCACGGGGTCACAGCGGGGTCTCAGCGAGAACGCGCCGCCCCACCCCAGAGCATCTCGCTGTTGGTGTCGTGTTCACCTGTCACCCCGTCCTCCCCCCAGTCCGTCGACATCTGGGGGCCGAGTGGGGGGGTGGCGTGCTCAGGGCGTGCGTGCGGGGCTGGGGTCAGTGCTCCTGGCTGTCCTGCGTGATCCCGGTCACCAGCAGCAGGTTGCAGGCCATGAACTGCACGCTCAGGACGTTGCTCATCTGGCCGGTGTACACGCCCACGAGCTCCCCCGAGGAGCCGTCGGCGGGCGCGCTGCAGCCCGTGCTCCTGATGTCCCACACGCGCACCGAGTTGTCCATGGAGGCGGACGCCACCAGGCTGCTGTCCGGGCTGAACGTGAGGCTGGTGATGTTGTCCGTGTGGCCCCGCAGCTCCTTGTAGAGGGTCCCTGAGGCCAGGTCCCACAGCTTCAGGCGCTGGTCCTCGCCGGCCGACGCCAGGTACTTGCCGCTGGGCGAGAAGGCGAGCGCCAGCACGGGCCCGCGGTGGCCGGTGAACAGCCGCACGGAGCTGCCCTGCTGCGCGCTCCACAGCCGGACCGTCTTGTCGCTGGAGCCCGTGGCCAGGTAGTTGGAGTTGGGGTGGAACCGGACGCAGTCCACGTCCGCCAGGTGCCCCGCGTAGATCCGCAGCGGGTACGTCCGGTCGAAGGACCACAGCCTGGCCGTGCGGTCGTGCGAGCCGCTGGCGAAGTACAGGCTGTACGGGCTGACGTCCAGGTCCCACACCGGGTAGGCGTGGCCTTGGTACAGCACAGTGTTGGTGAGGCTGCCGAGGTCCCAGTACCTGATGGACATGTCCTCGGAGCAGGAGAGCAGGCCCGAGCTGTCCGCGAGGAACCGCGTGCTGTACACGGGCCCGCAGTGTCCGCGCAGCACCTTCATCTCCGTGCCCGCCGCGTCGACCTCCTCCTGGCAGCGCCGGGGGGCGGCAAGGAGACAAGAAAGACAGGTTTAGTGGGGTCCGGCCCGGAACGGGGACCGGGGGCCGCGGGCGGGCGCCCTGCCGGGAGGGAGCGTCTGCCCCGAGGCTGACAGCGCCTGTCCTGGGGGGACCCATGGGGACGGCCCGGAGCCGGAGCCGCCTACGGTCGCACGGCTTCCCAGGAGGCCCCCCTCCCCAGCAGACACCGTGTCGGGGCCCCGCGCGGGAACGCAAGGCCACCGACCAGGGACGGCCCCGCGCCTCGCTCCCAGGCTGACTGCGGGGGGCTGCGGCTTTCCCCGGCACCCCCACCGCCGCCATCCGCGGGGTCCCTTCCGATCTCTGCCCAGCTTCAGCGCCTTCGCCCACGGCGAGTCCCGCATCCGCCACGCGGCAGGACGCGGTCTCACTGTATGACCACGGGGGGCCGTGGGCCAAATGAACCCCGGACGTGTCAGAGCTAAGGGGGAGCCAGGGAGGGGCGCTCGTCGACACGGCAGGCTCGGACCCCGTGACCGGCGCGAACGGCTGGCGCCCGCGAGAAACGAAGACGAGGTTCTACACTGACTCCCTGGAGGGTCAGACACCGTCCCAAAGCACAGGCAAGACATGGATCCAGAACCGCCGCAGACAGAGCCAGGCGACCCATGTGGCTCCCAGGACCAACGGCTGTGTGTGGGACGGAGGGGACGACAGCCGCCGACGGCCCTGGGAGAGCAGGTGCCCCGTCCCCGCAGGTACACGCTGTGCTCACACCCGCCCCCCCACGGCCCTCGGGCGGGCCCCCCGACACCACAGTGGCTCCCACCGGAATTCAGGACCCGGAACGGGTTTCAACGCGATGCTAGAATGAGGAACGAGGGTCCCTAAACCAATCGGCTTTGCTGGCTTCGAAAGGACCTTTGCTCTGACACGGGAAAAGGCTCCCTTTCAACTTCTGCTCGAAAACCGCTGAATTCGAAGCAAAGCAGACGCTTCCACGGAGGACACGCTGCGGGTGAGGACGCACGCGATGCGTGTGCACACGCGGAACGGCCGCCGCGGGCCCACAGCGCAGCCGAGCGCCCGAGCGGGGTCCCTGCTGTTCCCGAGACTGTCCGCGACCCGCCTCTCGACGAGGCCACGGCGGCACCCTGAGGTCTCCAGAGTGCCTCGCTGCTCTACACCAGGAAGTCTGCGTGAAAAGGACCCCACGGAGGCGCGAGGACCCTCTGAAGGGCCAGGTCACCGCCCTGAGGCCGGCCTGTCCCTGCTCCCCGGGGGCACCTGGCCGGGAGCTCAGGGACGGAGAGGAGGGCGCACCCGTCCGGCTGGCCCGTCCCAAGGGCCGTGACGACGGCTGCCCCAAGCCTGTGCGAAGGCGCCCGGCCGATGAGACAGACGAAGGAACGGGGAAACCCGCACGTCCCTGCTGGACGCCGCTGTCCGCTCTTTGCCAGGACCCCGGCTGCGGCCCAGCCGAGTCCCACAAGGGGAGGACGCCGTGAACTGGCCGCTGGGTCGCACGTGTCCAGCCGCACGGACAGGACAAAGTCCCAGGCCCCTGACAACGGACGGGGCCCCCTGGGAACGGGCGCGCCTCCCCGGGGCTTTGTACGTGAAGGGAATTCGCATGATAATATAGCGCATCACATGTACCATGAAACATGCATAAAATAGAAATCTAAAAAGCAGTATAAACAGATCTTCGAATACTGTCTGATGCACCTGTCACTTGCAGACTCTGCTTTAGACTGTGGAGCCCCAGGAAAGCTCAGGCTGATTGTGGACACCTGTCCCTGGACGGGACGTCCCAGTGGCTTGGCGCGTGTGCCCGTCTGCCCCAGACCGGGAGAACGGGGTCTGGGACCGCAGGGGCTACGGGGCAGGCAGTGCCGCAAATCCAGTCTGAGGCAGCAAAACTGGTAGACAAAATTTAACGCTAACTGAGGACCTTTCGGTTACTGTTTCTGGTTTTAAAAACTGAGACAGTCACCTTATAAAGTTCACTCCTCCGAGTGTACAAGTCGATGGTTCTCAGTTCATTCACAGAGTTGTGCGACCGTCACCACCTTGTGGGAACATAACATCTTCGTCACCTCAAAAAGAAACCTGTGCCCACTGGTGGTCACGCCCCAGGCCCTGTCCCCAGCCCCTGGCGGGAATGGACCCACCGTCTGTGTCATGGAGATCTGCCCACTCCAGACGTTCCCGTGAAGGGAACAGATAGCACGTGGCCCTTCGTGACTGGCTCTCCCCCGGCATCGCGTCTACAGGATTCACCGCATCGGAGCATCGTCACGTCATGTGTGTCCATTCCTTTCTATGGCCGAATGACAGGCCATCGTGCGGAGAGACCCCGTTCTGTTTATCCGCTAATCGGCTGATGGACATCTGGGCTGTTACCATACTTCGGCTCGTAGAATGATTCTATACCTCCGTCCGCACGTTGTCACATGGACGTACGTTTTTGATTCTTGGTTATGTACCTGCAGATGGAATCGCTGAGTCCGATCTCGGCTTTGAGTGTCTACTGTTAAAATACAACATTTCATCCACTAAGTGATGCAGCAGTTACTGCTGCACAGAGGTCAGAGCAGAGGCTGCGGACAGATCCGGTCTGCACGGTGCTTCCTCGCGCCCCGGTCCAGCTGCTTCGCCGTTTACCTTCTGACCTGCTGGCTCCTCCAGGCACATGAGTTTGTGACCTTTGGATTCAAGTCTAGATTTTAACTGTGAATTCCACAAGGAAAGAAGAAAGTCCCAATTCTCATTGAAGAAACATTAAACTTCCACAACTAATTCATACCTTTTGCTTTTCCCCAAATGCTCTGTGTCAGAAAACAAAAAAAACTGACTTCCCCCAGCTGCTGTGACAAAACGGGTTGGGGTAGAAACCTCACACAGAAAACCCCCGAAAACAGAAGAGGGGATCTCGACTTCAGTTCTAAAGTTTAAAAAAAAAAAAAAATGCTGGTTTTCCAGGAAAGCAGAGGCTGGAGTCGCTGCGGTGCCCAATGCAGATAGCAATGGACGAACCCGACGGAGGCTTAGACGGCGGCCCCTCCGACATCCTCTGCCGTCCTGCAGGTGGACGGCACCGGCCGCCACCCGCTTGGCTGTCCAGTCTGGACACAGATGTCACCCTTGCGGCCCCATCATCAGCGACAGGCTCTCGTGTCACCTCCACTGCCCGACCCTGGCTGGGCCACCGCGGTGTCCCGTGACGTGGCACCGTGCTGCTTCCGGTCAGACCCCCGACTCCAGCCATGTTTGGTTTCTCCCGGTTCCCAGGATTCAGGCCATTCCTCACTTCCGGTCTTCACCCGCTCGTCCGGATGGCCGGGGACCGCCACGGGACAGTCGTGGGCGTTTTCAGTCTCAACGTTTTCTGTTTTAGTCTAATGTTTTGTCCATCTTTGCATCTGTTTTTTGTTTTTTGTTTTTAATGCCTACAGCGCCCAGTATTCCCAGGCGGTCTCCCATCCAAGTTCTAACCAGGCCCGACCCTGCTTAGCTTCTGAGATCAGACGTCAGGCTTGTTCAGAGTGGCACGGCCGTAGACCATGGACCGTGGCTCCACTGGGGTGCGAACCCAGGATCTTCTGTGTGTAAAGCAGATGTCCTAATAACTGCGACACTATGGAACCACGTCCTGCATCTGCCTGTCTCGCTATCTTCCTTCATATTAATTTTTAACACCTAGAATAATCCCCAAACTCAATAGCGTCAAAGCTAATAAGGTCAGTAGAAATACATATTTTTTGTATTTGCAGACAGCTGAAAGTAAATTAGGGCAGTATCTCTCAGTTGCATGTCAAGAGCCCCGAAAGCTGGCACTGTCTCCAAGGAAAAGAGAAATTTCATAATTCAAATACGTGTGCACTGAAAAGTATTTCAGGAATTCTGTAAAATTCTAGAAATCAAAGTTCGTACACTGGAATTTAGCCTCTTTACCCATCGTAACGATCTCCTCTAATTATGCTGTTGCGGTTGCAAGAAGCAAAAATTCAAAGACACACAAACTGGAAGGTGAACAAGAAAACAGCAAAGGAAAAAAAGAGCTTAATTTGTGCAAGAAAATTCCTGATGTCCCACCAGCAGCTCGGAATCCACTCGGGTGATTTTTTAAAACTCCTTAATTTTTAACCCTGTGCAAAGAATTTTCCATGCAAAGTAAGCTGAGGCACAGCTACCTGAACCTCAGAGGTGACGCGACAATATTCCCGCCCTCGGCTCTGTGGGGCCACCCCAGGCAGGGGCGTTACCTGTGCGAAGCTCAACTCCTGACCCCCTCGCCCACGTTTTTTTAAGGCAGTGACTCTCGGGGACCCGAAACTCAGGCCACACAGCCTGCCCTTGTCGACTCTCCCCAGGCGAAGCAGACAAGGGCACCACACTGACTGAAGGGTGACCGTCAACTACACTTCCTGTGCACTTCCCAGAAGAGGGCCCGGAACTCAAGAAGCCAGAGGACTGGAAAATGGCACCGTATTTATCTCCACAGAGGTACACACTCACGCAGGAGCTCGCGGTCACGCACGCACACCCGCACACTCACTCACACACCCTCACGCGCTCGCACTCGCTACAAATCTCGGCATCAGCCGATGACAGTCTTTGATGAGGCTTCGTGAGGTCCTCCGGTCACACCGACCGTCCCGACACACTCACACAGGTGCTCGCCGTCACGCACGCACACAGGAGCTTGCCGTACACACTCACGCAGGAGCTCGCCGTACACACTCACGCAGGAGCTCGCCGTCACGCACGCACACCCGCACACTCACTCATACACCCTCACGCGCTCGCACTCGCTACAAATCTCGGCATCAGCCGATGACAGTCTTTGATGAGGCTTCGTGAGGTCCTCCGGTCACACCGACCGTCCCGCACACTCACGCACCACGTTACGGGGGTTAAGAACAGGGTTCGCCTCCCCAGGCTCAGGCACGGGCACGCCTTCGGTGTCTGCAGGGCACGACCTGCCCTGGCCACACAGTGAGGGACTCGGAGGTCCCCGCTCCCCAGGGCCCGTGGGGTTGGCTACGCTCCCCCGAGCGGGTCGGCGGGGCAGGCACGGGCACGGAGCACGGGAGTCCTACCTGGTCCTCCAGGACGTCACAGGCCAGGCGGATGCGGGACACGTCCACCGCGCGGGCCGCCGGCGCCAGCTTCTTGGCCCGCAGGCTCCACAGCTTGATGCACGAGTTGTCGAAGCCGGCGGCCAGCAGCTTGCTGTCCGCGGAGACCTCGGCGGTGTTGAGCTGCTGCTCCGTGTTGTAGAAGGCGTAGAAGCAGATGGTGGTGAGCGAGGGCGGGCCGTCCCGCACGCGCCGGATGCTGTCCTGCAGGGCCTCCAGGGCGGCCTCGCTGTGCAGGAGCGGCGCCGGCACGTCCGTGGGCTCCAGGCCGCCCTCCCCGCGCGGGGCGCTGCCGCCCGCGTACAGCTGGTAGCCGGTGCGCTTGGCGGGCTGCACGTCCAGGTGGATGTGCAGGGCGAGCACCTTGCAGAGCGCGGCGTTGTTGTCGCTCTGCAGGAAGCGCGCCAGGTAGTGGTAGCTGTCCTCGTGCAGGCGGACCACGTACTTGTGGTCCAGGAAGGCGCGGAGCTGCAGGTTGCCCAGCACGTCCTGGACGGTTTGCGTGCTGCGCAGCTGCTCCACGACGTCCTTCTGGCCGGCGTTCTGCAGAAACATGCCGTGGAAGCGGCTGTAGAAGCTGTCGGCCGTGCCCTTCGGGCTGCCCTGGACCAGGCTGAGGTGGAGGTAGACGAAGAGGGGGTAGAGCAGCGGCATCACGTCGTGGCTGAGCCGGGAGTCGGACTCTGCAAGGCAGAAGGGAGGGCCTGACCCCGGAGGCCCACGGGGGACCACGCGGCCCGCAGAGCCCGCCACTGCCCCACGGCTGAAGGACGACAGCCGGACCCTGCAGCCCAGCGGCCTGCGCGCTGGAGGCCGACGTGAGCCAGGACCCCTGCCAGCGGCCCGTGCCCAGGCCTAGGTCAGCGCCTCTGCCAAAACGTCAGTGCTGTTGGGCCTCTGCCGTCCCAGACGCACTCGGCGACACCGGGCCTCACGGTGACCCTGGAGCCGGACCGCGGTTTAAACACAGCGAACACCGGTGTGCTGGGGACGGTGTGCACGGCCATGTGGCCGGCAAGTGCGGCCTTGCGACTCTGGTTCTGTTTTGTGCCTCCTTCTGGAACCCACCACCCACAGACACATCGAGGCCCTCGTGTCCGTGGCACCTGGGCTGGCATGTCCCAACACCACGAAGACCGCATTCGCCCCCACGGTCCCTGTGCCAGTGCCCTCCCTGTAAACCACCTCTTTGGCGGTGACAAGGTACAAACGAGACATGTCACACTCCATTGCGCCTGAACCACTGACCCGTCTGACGCTTTAACACCATGAAACTAGGTGACAAAGAAGGTTCGAAAAATGTACGGCTTTAACCGTCGCGGCTAAGAAGCCAGAGGTGGAGCGGGCGCCCTCCCTCACCACACGCGGCGTCCAGCAGCGGGCTTCACGCCCGTCTGCGGACGCTCCCGCCACAGACGCCCCCGTCTGGCTTCCAACGCAGACGAAGGACCGCAAGCTACAGCTCATCTCGAGCTCAGGAAACACCTGCTCGTCTGATTCGGTCCTGCTCTTCAGAGGCCTGGGGCACACAGAAATGCTCCAGGAAAAGCGGTCTATAAGGACAACGCACATGGTCACCCCGTCCCAGGGATGGGTGGCCAACGGGTCACAGAACTAAATTACAGACAAGAGAGTGGACAGCTTCCTCAGCCTGGAAGACACAACACTGCAGGGAGGAGGTCGACAGATCACAATTTATCGAAATGTAAAGTTCCAGGCAAAGGAAACGTAGAGATAAAAATAGAAGGTGCCACGTTTCAGGGAAAAAAACCGCACCTTCAAATACAGGGGCAGACAGTACGGAACCACCAAGGGCCCAAAAGACAGGAACAGGAGCGGATGGCTCCGCGCCGGGAAAGCCGCGGCGGCCCACACGCTCCACCGCGCCCGGCGTGCGCGCAGCGCCTCACACACGTGCAGGCCGAGGGGACGGGCCTGGCCCTTCATAAACCGTCCCCGCCACCAGCGTGGTGAGAGAAACCTGCCACCGAGAAATAACGATCATTTCTTAAAAACCGAGTAAAGTCACTCTAAGAGCTGACTTAAAAATTTTCAAAACTGCTTAAAGCCTCAAAAACCAACATCGATAATTAAAACAACTTATCTCTAAATTCCTGCTCGCCTCGTGATGAAATCCTTCTCAAAATTCAGTCTTTTTCTACCCTTAGTGGAGCTGGGAGCAGCTGATCACCGTGCTGAGCTGGTGACATCCGCACAACGTGAGGGTCCTGATGAGCTCCCTCATTTCCGCTTTGAACAGAACAGACTTTTGCATTTTTGTAACTACTTAACAGACTAGTTTCCACTTGTGAATTTCATCACTCGACAGACAACCACGAGGCTGATAAGACACCCGCTCTAGGCTTCTACTTTGTAACCTTTACTTTTTGTAACGTTTTGTCCACTTTCCCAACTACAAGAAACGTGGATTCTTTCCATTAAAATAGTAACCATTGTGAGGGCCGTGTAGAATCAGGACATCTCTAAGTGCGTGTATAACTAGGCGTGTCAGGTTTACATACCGGCACCTTGTATAAGTCTTCACCGTTAAAAATGACTATCCCAACGGCTGTTCAAATCAGGACGGAAAAATAACACAACTTCCAAGTGTCTGATCTCTAATTTCCCGCTAACCCGTGCATGCTGACCACTCCCGACCCTCCGAGGGCGGAGACAGTTTTGAATTTCTCGCACCTCGAGTGGTTTTGCAGCCGAGGCTTTGATTAACAGCTGGAGCCAGTGTGGTCTCCGGCCTCCTTGTCACGTCACATACAAGGACTCAAAGGCCCCACAGGGACTAAGTGACTCCTTTTTTTTAAGAGACTGATTTTAAAAGTCACCAGCGAGTCGGGCGCACTGATCAGATGCGTGTCTGCGACGGGGCGGTCACCGCGCCGCCCACTAACGGCCCCGAACGACGGCTTGGGGTGTCTGTCTTGCCGACGTGGGCTTCTACCTTGCGCTACGGGCACCGGAGGACAGAGTACTCCGTGCTGCACGACACTGTCACCGGGGACATCGACGTGCATCTCAAACTCGCCGCCTGAAGGAAGCGTCTCCGCACGCGTCAAAGTCATCGCCACGGCTGAGCGGCGCAACGCCGGGGCCCCGCAGGCTTCAGGCCCGAGCGTCCCGCCCTGGGAACCCCAACGGACCACGAATCTGGCAGCGAGAGCTGTGTAAAGCCACCCGCGTCCCCAGCGCCTGACGGCGCGCCCCGGGGAGGCCCGGGCCGGGCGACACTCACCGGTGAGGAAGTTCCGCAGCCGCGCGAACTGCGCTTCGTACTGCTGGGGCTCGGCCTGGCAGGGCGCCGCGGACACCGTGTTGGCACACCCGGACTCGGACTGGACTGAGGACGAAAAGACACGCGGACGGGGCGGGAAGAGAATCGTTAGCCCGGCGGGCGCAGGATGGACGGGGGGCAGCAATGCGGCAGCGGCCCGGCCGCCGGTCTCGGGACGCGGGCGTCTAGGTCGATCCGCCAGACCGACGGCACGCGCCCGGCCAGATGGCGGCGGGAAGGTCAGGCGCGAGCCCCAGGATGAGCCCGCGGAACGAGCACGCGGGCAGGTAGCCCCGTGAACCCCCTCGGGAAGCGTCGGACCCCCCACCGTCCTCCAGAGACCGTCCTCCAGAGACCGGCCTCGCCCTGGGCTGTGCCCCCCGCGCCGGCACGCAGCGCCCCGCGGCCAGGAAATTCAGGTTCTTGGCTCGGAAATGCTCTCGAATCCTGATCCTGTCCGGCCTGCGCTCTCCCGAGCCGGCCCTCGGCGCCCGCGCTCCATTGCCAGAGGCTCCGCGACTTCCACCCCTCGCAATGCCTTCTCGGCTTTACTATCGCGGATTGAAATCTCCCTTTTTCTTGCTCTCTGAGCACCCCTTCTTTGCTCCAGGCCGTCGGCGATGGCGGTTTGAGGTTTTCTTCTCTGCTGTTCGCGGCCTCAAGCTGCCTCTCGCTGTCTCTCTCCACCTCTGTTTTTCACAGTAAGGGGATCAGTGTCTCCCAGGGCCCGACGGGCCCCAGCTGTCGGCGCAGAATGGACAGCAGGGCACGCAGAGCTGACGGACACCCGAGCCCAAACCCGGGGGGCCTGGGCGAGGAACCCCCAGGCCAGTGTCCTCGGGCCCTGGCCCTCGGGTGGGCGCCTGGCCGTGTGTCCCGGGCGGCAGGGAGGGGACAGAAGGCCAGCGTCGCAGCGCTCAGAGTACGAACACGCGCTGAGCCTCCATCCTGTACGCTTATGCTCCCTAGAAGGAGAAATAAACCCCGACCCTTTCTGCGAGGCGGGGGGAGATGGGGACCGAGAGAAGCCATCTTTAGTGACAACCCGATGAGACGTGGGTGTAGAAATGCTGAGTAACACGGCATGACCGAGGAAGCCACGGCAAGGAGGACACAGACGAGGACTCGGTGGACCTCGCGAGAACGCAGAGGGACGGCCAGCAGCAGGAGGAGGTGCCGAAGGCCACGCATGGAGCGCCGCCCCCTCCTACCCCCCGCGCCGCTGCCCCGGCCTCCAGTCACTCACCGAGCCTCCCAGACCCCAAAATCTCCCCTCTGCTGTCACCGCTGCCCTGACTCAGGCTGTCCTCACTCCTCACTGGACACTTCGCTAGCTTCCCGGGGTCGATCGGGGCCTTCCCCAGTCAGCCCCTGGCCCCCCGGCTGACCGCCAGTGAGTCCCGTCACCGCTGGCTGGCTGACTGCACGCCAGGAGCCGCAAGGCCTTGAGGAAGCCGCCCTGGACCTGCCAGGCTGGTTCGGGGCGCCGTCTGCTCTGCTCCTACAGAACCTGAGGCCGGGCCCCCGGAACTCATGACACCACACCCCCGACCATGGCTGGTTTCTCTGCCTCACGCCCGACGACGGCCAGCTCTGGGGGGCCAGGATGGACTCCCAGCTGTCCCTAGATCTGTCAGCACTGGCCTGCAGCGGACGTCCTGGGACTGTCGGCCGAATGAAGACATAACCGCCTCGGCCACTCGGCTGACAGCAGGCCCCCGGACGGCGTCGGGCGATGCTCACGTGTCCTGGTGCCCTCCCAGGAGACACGGTGGCTCCCCTCAGAGACCACGGTGCCTGAACTATGACAGCTCGGCGAGGACATTCTAGAAGCTGTTCCAGAGCACGTGCTCCTCGGTCAGCACAGACCTGCTGTCCCCGGCTCTGGCGAGCACAGGACAGGAGACCATGAGCGCACGACAGGGGCTGTGACGGCGACTCTGCAGCCAGCCGCTGCCCTGCAGGGAACAAGTTCCAAGCCCGTCATCTGACCCTCTCTCTCCTCGTCCGTGACACAGCAGGGTCTGCGGGGGACAGGACGCAGGCAGGCACCAGCTCCAGCCTCCCTCGCAGTCGCAAAGGGTCGGGGACCGCTGTCGGGGACAGCCTCGGGTTCTCAGTGTCCCCACTCTTCCCTATGGTAACTCACAGCCCTGAACGTGACGGGTCTGGGTCCTTGGCCATGAAGGTGACAGGAAAGAGGGAGCGGAGGCGGCACCACGGCCGAGCGCGCTCGGGGTGGTGAGGTGGAGACGCTGGGCAGGCGGGGCGGGCGCCCCACGCACCCCGGAAGCCGCAGTGCGTGGACACAAAGTCACACCAGGCGACTGTGTCCTGCGAACACTTGCGCTCACAAAACGGCTAAGGAACTATTACGTTATTCCAGGTGGATTCGAGACTAACCGAAAAATAAATAAATGAAAGAATCCAATTTCGAAACAAAGAACACAAATCAAAAACGTAAAAAATCTCAAGAACACGTCTATGTCGCAACATTTGCAGCCGCTGACCAGTGTGCTGGTTCACCAGCAAACCCAACCCCCACGAGGCTCAGGGACGCAGAGGGACAGGGTGACATTTATGGAGGAAGAGGCCCCGCGAAGCACTGGGAGGCATGGCGTCTGCGCAGGGCCCGCAGGGAGGTGTCCCTCAGCCCCGCTGTCCGGGCGCCCCACGCTTACCCGCGAGACTGGCCGCCATCTCCTCAGGAGTCTGTGACAGCCGCAGGCCTGGCTTCAGAGGACCGTCGGAGTCCACGTACTGGCGGCGTTTGAGGTAGCAGGACACCGCCATCTGGATCTGCTCCGTGCGTACTCGTTTCATGACCTGGGGACACACAGCACAGACCGTGAGGGACACCAGCCCCGGGGACAAGGAGCCGGGGCGGACCGGCCATGGGCCAGCGAGGCGCAGGGCGGAGGTCCCTAACCGCTGGCCCCGTGCCCTCCCCCACCCTCTCCATCTCCCCAGACAACACAGCCAGTCGTGGGCAATCGGGACGTCGTCGACAGCTGACCCCAAGTCACCCAAACTCCACTCGACGCCAAGACGTCGGTTGGGCCCCCGGGACCTTTCGGTGGCGATGCTGACAGGGTAGACAAGGCCAGGTGACTCCCAGGCCTCTGGTCCCCCCGCCTGCTCTGGGAGACAGTGTGACTCGGCAGCCAGCGGGCAGAGGTGGCCCCAACCGGGGGCCCGGAAACCCAGCAATGGGACCGAGTGGCGTGGAGACCGAGGCGCTGGCTCCGGGGCGGGAAAGCCACGTCCTCGGCCAGGAGGGGCTGCCGGCGCCGAGCCAGGGGCCCAGGCCACGCGTCTTCGCCACCTCGCGAACCTTTCAGTCCTCACACGAAACGCAGCCAGGGACACAGAAAAGCCACAGCGTGCTTTTCAGAAAACGTCTCACGAAAGGAAGGTGGGAGGAAGCGTTCCCAGGGGTAACTCAAGCTCATCTGAGGGTCCCCCCTGCGAAACGACGACCTTCCCTGACCCCTGCATTCATTACCCAGGGCGGCAGGGCTCCCCGACACGGCCCGGGCGTCGAGCACCCCGGGTCGGAAGAGATGCTGCACCCTGACGGCGGGCGCACTCGCTGGGGGCGCTTCCGTCACGGCGAAACGTGCTGTCCACCCGCTTTGGAACGCACGCGATGTCCACACACGTGTGACTGTCTGCAGCAAGGTAATGACCTCGGATCGAAGGTTCCCATTTGGGGGCCGGAAGGTCTGCTTCGATGATTTCCTCGGATGGATTTAAGTTTTCAGCTTTGGTTACGTGCACCGGCCTTCTCCTTCGCGATGGCCTCCGTTTTTTTTAAGATTTAAAATCCCCTTTCCAGAAATCTGTTATTTTTTTCTTTAAACCTTTAAATACATACACATATATTTGTATCTAATTTGTGTCCATTTGTAATTTTTTAGTGTGAGATCTGCAGTAAAGAACCAAATGAATCTTTTACCCAAATACCATAGCAAAAAGTATTCTCAAATCACCTGCAAATAATCCCCCCGAACTGACGTGTGGCAGCGCCTTTGACACACACCCTGCAGACCCCCTCTTCAGCTGCCACACACGGACACACGGAAGCCAAGTGTTAGGGCGCCACGAGTAAGCTAGACCGTGTTTGCAGAGAGACTGCGTGACCCGTGCACGTCACCTCCGGATTTCCGAAGCGAGCACAAGGCCTCGTCAAACGGAGGTGCGCGGGGCCCGGCGCGGTGGACAGTCACGCTTCCCAGCACGGACCCAGCTCTGAGGCAGGGCGTTTGCCCACTTGGTCCTGGTGTGTGAGTCTTTCACTGTGTCGACGACTTTGATTATTTCTTAACAAAGGTTTTTAATTGCTCACATCGGGATTCTGATACTGTTGCGCTCAGCAGTCACCTGCCCATCAGTGAAGACAGAGAACTGTTTCTTTGTGGTTACTAATACGCATCACTGTATCAGTTTGTACCAGGGAGGCTGCAGAGTTCTCTAACCCGGCCACACGTAAGAATCTCGTGTGCGTGTGCATGGATTCTGACTCGATGTTACAGTCAGAAAAAAAAAAAAAAAATTAAACGCACATGGACTGCGATAGCGCTGCCGGTTCCCGGTCTGGCCCAAAGTCGGGACCAGCCGATCCAACCCGCCCTGCTGCCCCCGCTCCCGCCCCAGCCAGAGCTGCTTTTAATCTGACTGCAAGAGCTCTCAGGCTCCAAACTCTTCCAAAGCATCCCGATTCCTCGCATTTGAGCTGAGACTAAAACTTTTCCAGATTTCCTGCTGCCCATCTCTTGTTGCCATGGGAATGCAGGCTGGTAGCAACGTGCGCCTCAGTGTTCTAAATGAGACAGGATGGGAGCACCTCTATGGGGAAAAAACGGGCAGGTGGGAGACAAACTGACGGAGACCCTGCAGTGACACGGTGTCTTCGAGGTGGGACAACGTACAGGCCTGTCGAGGAGCAGGACAGGGGAGGGACGTCCAGACAGCAAAGACAGAGGAGGGAGAACGGCCCGCGGCCAACCCCGGCCACATGTGGGGCTGCTGGGAACGAGTCTGGAAGTACGAATCCTCACGAGTCTGCCCACATCGGGTGCCCCAAATGGCAGCTTCTCTGGACCCAAACCTCCATTTCTGACAAGGGACCGTCCTTGAGGTGGGCAGGGGGCCCGCTGTGGGCCCGAGGACCAAACGGGCAGGGACGCTGCCCCGGGGCCCCCTTCACAGCCAGAGCTGCGATCCACTGACCTAACTGGATCTGAGGCCAAAGACACGTATTTGAAGTGAAACGAGTAATTAATGAAAAGACTTCTGCAGAGCAGGCAGCCTCTACCCTGGTTGATTTCTGTGGTACCAACGTCCACGGAAGGGCACAGGAACAGCCGAAACCTCCTTAAATCAGACCCCTCTTGTGAGAGCCTCGGGCACGAGGCTGACACCGTAATTTCAGGTTACCTGCTTAGGTTTTCCTCATAATTATAAAAATCTTTTAAATTTATACTGAGTTTGGATATAACTACCTTCGTTAAAATCCCAGGATTTCCTGTAATGTTATTTACATAAAATAGCTTCATTTTTAAAGGTAAAAATGGATGACCACATCTCTTTCTCTTTATGTCACGTCATTAGCATTTCTGGAATTGAAAATGAAGGTTCTGACACGATGGATCTCTCCTACGCCGACGGCTGCCTGCTGTTTAACTAACACTTCGACTAAGTTGCTATACAAAATCATGACAGGGTTATTTTCCAGGCCCAAAGCAACAACCGTGCAGTAAAAAGTACAGCCAGGCTCTTAATACTTAACTACAGAAACGGGACACGAAGTCGCACGGAGGCCAGGCAGGGGGCCGCAGCCGAGGGGCCCCCGCTCCCGCTCAGATCCGCACGGCGGCAGGGTGTGCGCCGCAGACACGACCTCTCCACGGCCGAGGGCTGGACGAGTCTGTGAAACGCCAACAGGCCCGCAGGGACGGCGCCCCCAGATCTAGGGTGGCAGTTCTGAGTACAGATGAGCTCAAAAGAGACCCCGCAAACTCACCGGCACCAAACCAAACCAGCTCCCCCCGTGACTGCGTGACAGGCCGCGAGGTTTTGGGGGCGTTGTTTTTAAAGTAAACGTATTTTTTCCGATTGTAAATTTATGCTTAGAACAGCTCAAAAGCTATTACTTTTGGTTAACTGAGTGTCGCGTAAAGGGCTCCGAGGCCCTCGGGTGAGCGGTCCTCTTCCTCGCAGGAATCTCAACGGCTGAAGCAGCAAAGACCGTCTCAGGGGGGCCTAAAATGTAAGCTCTGCGCTCACCCCGATAAAGTGCAGCCAGTCAAGTCTGTGAAATTACAAATCACAGAAAAGTAGTGCGCATACGACTCGGCCGGGCCGGCTGGTCCTAGGCTCGTCCTAGGCTCGTCCACACCTCACATTTTACAATCATGGCACAGACGGCGCGGGAAGAGGGCTCGGAGCTGGGGCTCAGTGCGCACCATGGAGCTGGAGGCCTCTGTGTCCGAAGCAGAAATCACACACCCAGGCAGACAGATGCCGCCACACTCTGATCTTCTCCGAAAGCCGCTGGGGACCCCACGATGCCTCAGATGTCGTCTCTCCCTCCAGCTCCCGCCCCAACCACCCCAAGCCGCACCGTCTCCCGCCCACGAGCGGCCGCTGCCATCTCACCGGGCCACACGAAGACCTGACACCCTCAACTCTTGCCAAACCCAACGGCCACTTTCCACACCACCCTGCAGGCCTCCCTCCCCGAAACGCCCCCTCTCCGTGGCACCTCGCTTCCCTCCTGGTCAGCCTCACGTCCTCCACATCCCCAGCGTCACGGCACCACTACAAGGTGGACGTGGTCCGCAGCTCACGTTCCTGAGCGGAAGCCTGAAAGGCCTGTCCACCGGGATGCTGAGAACACCTGAAGCTCACTGTGCTCCACCTTGCGCCCCTTCTAAACCCCTTCCCTCCCGTCGCTGTCCCACGGCGCCATCGGCCACCACCGGGGCGAAGAGCCCAGCCATCACCTTACAGAGCTCCTCCTGCACGCTCCCGTCCACTCCACGCAGGCTCCGTCGGAACCGGTCACGGCTGCCACTGCACACGGCACTTTGGAACGGCTACCCTGACGCCAGCTCCGGCCCCACCTCCTGCCACCCTGTAGCAGCGGCCCCAGGGCACGCAAACCTGCCGCTGCTGCTCCCAAGCTCAAGATCCGCACTCCCCCTCCGCCCCTGCCGTCCCCAGTCCCCGAGATTCGCCCTCCCCCTCCGCCCCTGCCGTCCCCAGTCCCCGGTGGCCCCAGGAAGACGGAGAGGACCCCAGAACACGGCTTTCTGATCTTAGAAACTCATGTCAAACACCAAGCGTGCACGTCGAAACCTGCGTGCAAAGCGTTTCAACGTCGCAAAGGAAACGGTCGCGTTTGCGCTACGTGCAAACGCCGTGACAGAGGGTGAGGGTGCTCTGCCCTGCGCGCGGCCTCCTGGAGGTCAGGTCCAACGCGGCAGGCGACGGGCCAGAGATGCTTCGTGACATCAAAGTGTGTGTGTGTGTGTGTGTGTGTGTGTGTGTGTGTCTGTGTGTCCGTGTGCATATATGTGTGCATGTGTGTCCATGTGCGTGCATGTGTGTGCCTGTGTTCATGCATGCATGTGTCTGTGTGTGCACGTGTGCGTGCATGCGTGTGTGCCTGTGTTCATGCGTGCGTGTGTGTCCGTGCGCATGTGTGTGCATGCATGTGTGCCTGTGTGCATGTGCGTGTATGTGTCTGTGTCTGTGCACGTGTGCGTGTGTGCGTGTGTGCATGCGTGTGCGTGCATGAGTACGTACCTGTGCGCCTGAGAGGAGGAGAGAGAAGGACCTTCCCTTGTCCATTCCAGGACAGTCCCGCAGGCCTTTCTGCAGGGACGAAGTGCTGGCCACACACCCTGCGGGGCTACTGCGGCCGAGGAACTGAATCTTAAACTTCACGTAGATTGCACATCAGCAACCGCATGTGGCCAACGGCTACCGTGCCGGACGGCACAGCGCGGGGGCAGGTGTTACTCTGAAACACGTGCGTGAGCACCTGAGCCTGAAAGTGTTCACTCACCAAGTTTTGCAAGGCGCTTCTGCTACTGAATCACCAAGTCTCCAAACGTTAGGACTCTTAGTAAAGAGCTGCCTTCCGCCGTGAACGAACAGTGCACGTTTACTAGGACAGGCACGCGCCGGCGCCTCTTCCCAGAAGCGCGTCTGATGACACTGCTACACGAAGACTTAGGAGCAGAAGTCCTCTGCGGTGTTTTCAAAATGTCACCGCCGTACCCCTTTAAACCTTCTCCAAGTTAAAAAGCGAGAGGGGAAAGGGAATCGGCTTCCGCGGAGCAACAGAGCGGCGCTCAATTGCTTTAAAATGTCCAAAAAAAAGAGAAGCTCGAAGTGAAGACGACCTCACCTCCGCAACGAGAAGATGAAAAATAAAATTTGTTTAACTTAAAAAAAAACCTTTTGGGCTTGTAAATAAAAGAGTCAGATGTCAGCTTGTAATCTTTAACTTATTAATTTACATACTCGTATTTAAAAACATACTGCACAAGGCAGCAAACATATGGATTCGAAAAACGGTTTCGCTTCGACTCTTCACTTACTCGCTCACCATCAGGGTCCCCGTGGTCACCTGAGCCCCTCGGAACCACCGAATCCCATTGTCCAGAGCACGGCACCTTTGCATCTACCAAATCGGCTATGACAGAGCGCTTCTCGGAGCCGCACAGGACGCTTTCACTGCACGTCTCCAGCCGGGCCACCGACAGCCACGCAGGTGGCAGAGCTTCCTTCCCCCATCACTGACAGTGTTGACTGTACAAACACCCCCGAGCGGCATCGAGACCCGGGTGGTTTTAGCCAACACGTATTTCCCAAACAGCATCTTGTTGTTAGAAATGGAGACAGCGCCCTGGAGCAGGAGACACCTGAACATGTGGTGACATCTTATTTTTAAAGGGACCCTTGCCTTAGAAGCATATTCGCTATACTCCTGAAGACACCTTTGCAGAGGCCCATTTCCCCTTTGGGACCGCGGCAGACCCGAGGCTGCGGAGACCAGCGGCGGGGCGCTCCCTCTTCCAGGCCGGTCTCTCACGGCTGCAGGGACGCTCTTTCCGGAAAGCTAATCTGCTGTCATCTGTGCTCCGCTGAGAGACTTTCCTCTGCTCCCACCAGTGCGGAGGACAAAAATTCCATCTCCACGGTGTCATTTCAACATTTCTCCGACCCGCCTTTGCGAACCTCACCGGTGGGCGCCACCCCGCCTTCTCGCCTCAAGGGCTTTGGTCAAGGAACCACCATTAACTGAAAGCACCCCACACTGGCACCCCAACCTGGCACCGTGAAACCCGGCCCATGCTTCACAGCTCAGCCCAGCTGAGCCACCTCTTCCTTCCAAAGCTTCCTTGCACACGGCCCCCTCCACCCATGGACCCAGGGACAAGCCTCGATCACGCCACCGGTTTGGTACGTTACCATCACCTGCTGAGTGCACGCCACCGCTAAGGACCGGTTTCAAGTGCTCTTCCTTTACACTCATGGAAACCCTACGAGCTGGGTGGGTGACATTCCTCGGAGGGAAAGGTGAGGCCTGAGGAAGCCACACAATGTGCCCGAAGTGCCACACACCCACACGGGGACTCGGGGCCCCAGGCTGCTGGTCTGAGCCTCACCCTCAGTGTCCTGCTGCTCAAAGTTCTACCTTAGGTCAGGGGCTTCTGGAGACACGACAGGGAAGGCCTACCAGAAGCTCGTGGAGAGAGGAACAGTCACTACTCGAGAAGCTGTCTGTCACATGGAGAGGCTGGAAACTTCCAGCACTGTCCGCCGAGCAACGCCGGCTTAACAGAGGGTCCCCAGGGCTCCTGTGCCTCTAACGCGAGTGGCTAAGCACAAAACCTCCCGTCTCTAGAGACCTCCTTCACGAGTTTGCAAAAATAAAAACCAAAGAAACCAGCGACTGAGCAGTTAGGCGAGGCCTTTACGCAGTTTCAGTGACAGAGGCACAAAAACCTCACATTTAGAGGCAGGAGCAACGAAGCTACTCCGAGACACGCTGACCTGATTTATCACTGATCACCAAGAGAAACGCTCAAGGGGCTACCAGCTTCTGGTTTTCTAGTTTAACGCCGATTTTCAAGGCAGGAAGATTTTTTGTAATTCATGAAGACAGTCTAAGTCAGCATGCTTCACACTTAACACAAAAATTTAGGCCTAACAAGACACCTAGAAGCATTCTGACAAACAGGAAATTGAAATATTCACAGAGGGATTTCTACGGCAGGCATCGTCACATACGCGATTCCTTTCTGGGGGCCCTTCAAGCGCTCGGCGTTGAAGTTACCACGCCTGACTCCGTGAACACAAGAAACCAAGGCTCAGAGGTTACACGCAGTTACATAGTTTCAAGCTCGGGTCTCAGGACTTACCAAGCCCCACGCGCTGCACTAAGTTCCTCGGAGTTACAGGTGCGGCGCGGACGCGCCTGCCCACTCCCATCCTCGGGCCCGCGGTGACGGAGGAGCGGAGCGGCGGCTTCGCCCTCCCCCACCCCACGCCTCGGGTCTAAGACACTTGTGTCACCTAACCGAAGACAAGCTGCGCGCTGACCGTCCTCGTCGGCGGGAGGGACCCTTCCTAGACCTCCCTCTCCAAGGTCAGGTTTACTTAACTGAGGTCGAGCGCCGCGAGGCACCGGCAGACTTACCTTCCGATCCTAGCACCGCACGCGCGGCGAGACCCGCATCGTAAGGACGCTCTCGCGACCGATGGGGACCCGCACAAAGCCTCCCGGACGCCGCTTCCGCCACGTCTAAGACGCCGCCGCGGTTCTGACCACCCCCTCGGCCCGGCCCGACGCGTCGCCGAGCATGCTTTCCACTGCGGAAAGCGGGAAGGAGCCCAGGCCTTAGGAAGGAGCCCCGGGGCCTCTGGGATGAAAAGAGATCATGCTGAATTGTGGCTCTGGAACGCCCGGTGTCCACACTGCGGGGAGGTGGAGGTGCTAGGAGCGGCCTGTCTACTGTGGTAGCCGAGGGGTCCACGCAGGTTTCCTTCGAAAATCCACCATATACATATAGATGAATATATATATGCATATATATGTATATGGTAGC